GGGGGGGGGGGGGGAGCTTCTGTCGATGTAAAGTTCAATAACAATGCCGTCGCGGTGTCGGTTTGTAAAATTTGTGTGGCGAAGTGGGAACGCAAAGACTAGTAGCATTCGCAGTGAGACCAAGTAAACGAACAAACAAACAAAAAAAGAAAAGAAAATCCTCGGACGTTCGAGTGGTGTTTCCAGCCAATTTTACGTAACTGCCGACCTGTGATGGAGTTAAATCGACTCGACAGACGAAACGCGCTTCGTGTGCTAAGCACGTTGTTAAGCGCGGCACGGAAAAATTCACAATTTACCAGTTGAAGAGAAAAACGATTGGCGTCGCCGATTAGTTTCACGAGCGCAGGTTGAAATTGGCTGAAAAATGCGGCTTGAACGTCGGAATGTCGAGAGTTATTGATTGTGAAACGTGTAAAATAAAAGTATGTTCACTACTATTTGAACAAACACACACACACACACACACACACACACACATACACACATGCGTACACGAATATATGAAATGTATGAGTTAGATTAAATAAATATATATAATCGTATTTTACGCGCGTGCGCGCGCGAGAAGTAAAACCGTAGAGGAGCCAGACGGAGAGGCATCGATCCTGGATTTATACACCATCCTTTTTGTAGACTCTTAGTCTAATCGCGACGACCGGCGACGATGTGTAAGATTAGTCCTGTACATATTATTTAGGCATGAAGGATTGTCAAATTAATATTTTAATATTTGTCTCACACACCGCACGGTGATATACCGAGTCCGCGGGAAATAAGACGGCCAGATGAATCCATGGGAGCTCACACGAGTAAAGCCACGAGTCCCGAATTCGGTGAGAACGCGTTGTCCCGAAAAATGAAAATCTCGGGAAATTCAGAAACTGAGATAATTTCCCGAAAAAATACCCGAAATCCGAATATCAAGACAATACAATTTTCCCGAAATATGTAGTTGTTCCGAAGAGAAACTATTACGAAGGAAGGATGCCGACTTTTCATGGCCCGATTCTAATATTATTCTTGCCGGCAAAGCAGAAAATTACAAAGATTGTAAAAACTCACTTTTCTTATAATTCGATCATCGAATCCTGGGACGGATCTGTGTAGAAACTAATAATGCTGAAATATTAGGGAAATCCAATGAAAGGGAGATCTCTCCAATTTACAGTGTAGAATTTCTAACTGTCTATTATAACATTAGACTAATGGAGTTTCAATTACTGTAATTTCTCAAAGGAGACGTAATTTCTCAAATTTCTCGCTTTGAAAAATCCTTATCTCTTTGAAAACTGTTAGACAAGTAGATATTTTTATTTTTTAAATGGATAAAAGCTATTCAATAGAGAGAAGAAGGAATTTCCATATCACAAGAAGAAAAATAGCTATTGTCAAACATCTACTGTAAAGACGCCAAAAAATTTTCGGCGGCAAGTTATTAGATCACATAATAAGCATAAACATTACTTCAACTAAATGGAGAAATCCGCTTTCATCTTATTAAGAATAGTTTTTATCCATTTAAAAAATGAAAATATCTATTTAGTTAACAGTTAACAGTAAAAAGATTGAGACTTCTCAAGGTGAGATATTTTAGAGAGATTATAACTGCTTTGAGAAATTACATAAATTGAGGCGCTATTATAATATTATAACAAATATTTACACTGAATTGCGGGCCTCATTTTCATTGGATTTTCTTGTTACTTCGGCATCATTAGTTTCTATATAACTTTGCTTCAGATTGTTGTCCCAAAAACTGTACACGCAGATATATTAACCCTTCTTTGACACATTTATTTTTTATTGCTTAGTTGTAGGATTCAGCAACTTTTCTGATATGTCCTTATATAAATGTACTTATCCAATGTGTACATGTTATAATTTTATATGTATAATATAAATTTATAAAATTTAATTATAAATTTATAT